ATATATATATATATTCGACGTATGAGGGTCAAGAAGTTCAGTTCCTAGGAATCGACAGCACGACAAAAGCACATGAGATTTGATTATAGTAGGGAAGGTGTTGTCCAGAACCATCCACACTTTTTGAAGGGCTGAATACACAGACCTGGTGCAGTATATAGAAAACACACACACACACACACACACACACACACACACACACACACATATATATATATATGTGTGTGTGTGTGTGTGTGTTTTGTATATACTGGACTCTCCGGTTCAAACTTTGATCCGGGTAGTGCAGACTTCCACTCAGTGGAAAACATAAGTGTGCATCACTAAATATGAACTTGACGATATATACGTGAACAGTAGAACGAGAACAATCTACACCGTTACCTGGGTCGTCGAACATCAGATGAAGGCTGGACAGCACAACGGCCACAGTGCTGCGATAATAACAACAGAGACGAGGCCAATTTTCCGAATGTAAACATTGTAAATAACAAGTAAGTTAGAAAGCACGTGAAAGAAGAATATTTGCATTGATTAATTCTTCGAACATTTAGATAGTAACATGTCATAAATAAAAATTGAAAAAAAAATGGACGTTCTATTATCTAAAATTTATGAATTTATTTCCAAGTTTGTACTTCCTTTCAGGATAGTATTATGTCCGCCTCCTGATGCTAAGTGGACCCGGTAAGAGACAGTTGAAATCTCTAAGATATACAGCTGACACAGTATTGATAGAAGACACAGAAATTAAACCACAAGGACACCTAGAGAAAATACTGAAGAAAAGCGAGAACATCAATTGTAAGATGACAGAATGTATGGTTGCTAGCAAAAGGGACAACTCAAAATGCGAATTACAAATTGGAGATAACAAAATCAAACAAGTACAACGACTGGAATATTTGGGAAGTATTTTAACAGGGGACGGAATGTGAAACACTAAAATCCGAAGGCGCATTGGGATAGTAAAATATACTAAATAAACTATTAAGAAATAGGAAGAAAAAGAAAGAAAAAGAGTACTGAACTGTTATGTAATATCAATCCTCCGATATGTCAATGAATGCTGGTAAATCTCCTCAATGGATTGCGGCAACAAAAATCTGGTTCCAAAGATGGATGCTGGCAATAGCATGGACTGTACATGCGATTAATGACGATGTTTTAATTAATGCAAACAAAAGGTTACTTTTATTTGGAAGCAGAGAGATCTAGTTGAAATTTATAGGGTGCATAATGAGGAAAGAGGACCTGGAAAAATTAACACTCACAGGACATACTGAATGCAAGATGGACAGAAACAAATAGCGAGTAACCTACCTAACAAGCTTTTATAAAGATATGGTATAACAAATTGTGGGAAGGATAGTGAAAACACGCACATTGTTAGAAGCTAAAAAGGATAGTAAGTTACGGAGAGCCATAACCACTTACATCGCCATGGGATACAAGATGAAGATGACGACGAGAAAGAAGAAACGACGAAGTCGATGACGAAGAAGACGACGACGACGGAGAAGAAGACGACGACGACGAAGACGAAGAAGAAGAAGAAGAAGAAGAAGAAGAAGAAGAAGAAGAAGAAGAAGAAGAAGACGACGACGACGAGGAAGAAGACGAAGACAATCAGGAAGAAAAATACGACGAAAAAGAAGACGACTAAGACGACGAAGAAGAAGACGACGACGAAGAATACGAAGAACACAAGGACGACGAAGACGAAAAGGAAGACGAAAAGGAAGAAGAATACGACGACGAAGAAGAAGAAGAAGAAGAAGAAGAAGAAGAAGACGACGACGAAGACGAAGAAGAAGACGAAGAAGAAGACGAAGAACACGAAGACGACGAAGAACACGAAGATGAAAAGGAAGACGAAGAAGAAAACGAAGAACACGAAGACGACGAAGAACACGAAGATGAAAAGGAAGACGAAGAAGAATACGAAGAAGACGTAGAAGAAGATGAAGACGACGAAGAAGAAGACGAAGAAGAAGACGACGACGAAGAAGAGGAAAGTATCTTCTTGCTTTTTCTTACGATGCACACTCTTCTAAAAATTCAATCTTTTTGCTAATCACATTTTTAAAGTTCTTTTTGGTAAAAACGTTCGTTCGGTTTCTTAAGTTAGAATAAAAGACAACATTTCTATTTTCGATATTAACTTTATTGAAAAACATTTTCCCGGTTTGGTTCCGTTCTGCTCTATCATCTGACAAGCAAATTAATTATTCTTTCCTCCCAGAAGGTTTTTATCATTTTCAGCAAATAACTGTACAAAGCATCTTTTGAGGTCTTGCAACGAATTGAATTTATTTTCATTAAGAGAATTCTATGAAGACTGGATTAAATGGGAAGCCGAAAGTAGAATATTTGTCGAACAGGCCGGATGGCCAAATATTAAGTATCAGAAAATTATTCAAGAATTCTTGACTATATGAAACATCGATTTCATCCGGTAATCATTAATCGATTTTTTTAATCTCTAGAGCAGTACACTGAATATTGAATAAAAGTAAAACTCTCATTTTGTTTCTTATATAAAGTATATTTGAATATGATATCGATTCATGTGGAGTCGGAATCCTATAAAGAACAGGAAATTGTTTTACTTAAATTTTGATCACAATTCATGGTCTAATCCTCAATCAGACACATCAGGATCAAAGAAAAAAGTACACCTAAACCAATTGAACTTTCGAAAATATTGTTTTTATATTTTCAGGATTTAATAAAAATAAGATTTTTATTTGGATAAAAACAATGATTTTTATATGACTGAAAAATATATTATGACTTAAAAGATGATGTTTACATTACTAAACTAAATTAAAAAATAAAACACGATTGAAATTGCGAAAAATAATAATAACTATAAGTTCAATTAATAAATTTATATTTACCTTTCAAGAATCTAAATCATTTCACTAGATTTTTGGCTCCAGTCATATTTATCCAAACACGTAATAAACTGAAATAAAATTGAATATAAACAAAAATTTACATTGTTTTTCCCAGATTATTTTATGGTAAAATCATTCTGAAAGATTCGAAGAGATTTTACCATTTTTTTCTATTTCCTACTTCATCATTGGACAGAATTTATGTTTGCCTTAAATAAATAAGCGTTTAATTTAAAAGGTTAAGATTTACTCTGAAGCCAGACAAAACAGAAAATAAGAAAAACAGAAAATAAGAAAAACAGAAAATAAGAAAAACAGAAAATAAGAAAAACAGAAATATAATACAAATAAGATAAATTTTAATTACATTCTTTATACGTTAACTGTTGTTAAGTAGCTATAAATTAGATTGCTAAAACTTTCAATGAATATAATTATTTGACTTCTGTCTGAATTTCTTGAATACGGAATGATTATTTACACTATTTACATACACACTTGTACTTCATTTTTGTTGTTTTCCGTCCGTTTTGCTCTCCAGTCCACATCAAGTGTATGTCGTTCTAGGTAACCTATAGTCATCTAGCCTGATGCAAAGATGTAAATTTGCAACTATAGCTACATATTAAAATTCGCTTTTTTTCTGTCAAAGTTACAACAAAATAGTGCAGGAAAGACTCGATCCGACGACCAATACTTTTGGAGGTCTACAATTACACCTTATAGAAACACATCAATATATATTTCCTCTTCTAAAAATACATTAGAAACTTCGACGTGTATCGCTAGCTCATTTATGACAGAGTAGTGAGTTCCATCCTCACTGGGTGCCCCATACTTTCGGACTTGTGTCACAACTAAGCTTCGCTTAGTAAATCACCATTAGAAACCGCCTTCCAAGCTTCGAATCTACTGAATGCATCGATATGATAGAGGAACTGTATCGATCTACACGATCGTATATGTCTGGCGAGGACCTCAATACGGAACCATTTAAAATCTCATCAGGAGCGCGATTAGGAGGAAATGAGAGCCTGAGTTTATTTAATCTCTTCCTGGACTATACCCTCCGTATTGATAAACACAGATGTGCATAGAAAGACAATAACCATCTAAGCACTCCATACCACATCCCAAACGAGTCTATCAATAGAAGACAACAATTCAGCTTTGCTTTCTGAGGTCAATGAGAAATACCGATGATATGAGTATACATAGCTGAGATAAGAACGATTTCCATATAGAAAATGAACGTTGACTATCTTGGAAGAGAAATAGTCTCCAAGATAAACCTTTCGAAAACAGAAATCATGATCTGGAATTGGAATGAAAGTGATGGAATCCATCATAAAATTTCAGTATATGGATTTAGTAGATACTAAACGTTTCACATACCTCGGCGTATGAACCAGTCGTTTTGCTCTACACTGCAAATTGAAGTAAAACCAAAACATCAACTTGAAAAATCAATATTTTTATGGACGGCATGCATGGCGCCAAACCAGTTCAGGCATCTCTAAGTTGTATAAAACCGCGTCCTAAGATTAATATTGAAAAAGGCTTTAAGCGAGTGAAACCCGAGGACCTTGGCAAAAATCATCCTTCTTTTCCCTCTTTGGACATTGTCGACTGCTGTTACAGTTTCATAAACAAAGTAGTAGAAACCACACCTCTTGTGGACTACCAACAGCTGTACTGTACTGTACTGATGCGGCATTCACCCTGGGCGGATTGAGCCGGCTTCTTCCTGTTATGAGAAGAAGATTCTTGGGATAAATTACAGAAGTAGGGTACCCAGGCCTACTCGGATAACGTTCTTGCTTGCCGCGGGATTCCCACAGACGCAGAGACAGGAACGACCAGAAGCCGCCGGTTACCGATGCAGACGCTCATTGGATTTTCACCAGAGCCCTTGTTAGCCGGCGTGTGTGTGAGAAATGTCCGCCTTGGGTGGCCCTACCAGGAACGAAGTTCCGGGCGGCATAGCTCTGACACTACCGTTTACACCCCCCCACCGGCTGTGAGGTAAGGGTTGGACTTTGGGGGCTTACAGTACCAGGTGTTCCCAAGCGGTCCCCCATCTAAGTACTGACCTGCTTACGGTCAAATCACGCTGAAACACCGGTTCTCGTTCGATCACCGAAGTTAAGCATCGTAGAGTCAGGTCAGTACTACCAACAGCAGCAACAACTAAAATTGATATCATATGTAACTCGAAGAGACAATGCTGATATAATCAAGATGTTAACATATACTTCAAATATTGATACTGGATAAGCCTATAAAATCTAGTGGACACGAGATACCTATTTTCCTGAAAAGTTTTTTTAAGTGAACGAGTTTAACCATTTCAACCAAAAGTAGCATATCAGGAACATTGGCCGTAAACCTTTTTGCCGTAAACCTTTTTGCCGTAAACCTTTTTGCCGTAGGAAAAATCGCCTCAAGAAACAGAACAATTTGTTTTGTATATTTCAAAATTTTAGTATTTATAGTGAATTTAACATAGTTTATGTTTGCAAATAATTCATGTAAATTTCAAAGGACTTACTGAGAATTTGAATGGGTTATCTTTCTTTGAGCAGATATTTTATATTGAAGGGGACGTATTCAAGTTGTAAGTTTGTTTGAAATAATATATATTGCTTGAATGAGAATTATTGGCAGACTGATCGTATGTTAACAGAAAGTTTAACATTAAATCTGAAATCTGAAATCTGAAATTGCATGACGTAGGTTCTGGGGTCATGTTGAATTCTTTGCGCTTCTCACTGACGAGGATGTATGATGTAGGATTTTGATCCTATAACTTCGCTTATTAAAATGTTTAAATCGAAGTAATAATAGTGTAAGCTTGATAAACAACGTAATTTTTATATAAAAAAATGCGGCGAAATTGTCTTAAGGCGAAAATCCTATACGGAAAAGTTTTCTACGGAGAAAATTCCCCAGTCAAACATTTTTTCGACGAATGCTCCTAGAACCTAAAGTAGTACTGGCTGCTCGGTCACTGAATGCCAAATATTTCCCTTGTAGGAAAAAGTCTAATCTTACCCTTACTATTATGTTTGAGTATATTTATAAGGCATGTGGATTGATATAAATATCCTTGATCGATCTGGACAACTTTGATGGGGAAAGTGATGCCTTCTTGCATTATTATTATTATTATTATTATTATTAAAAACATTTCCTTTTGATATGCATTTGTTTTGTAATCACAGAGCGGACCATAACTAATTATCTAGGGCAAACGAGGGATGTGATCTTTTGTTGTTTCCACTAAAATAAAGCTATTAACGAAAAAAAAAACCCCAAAAAACGTAAATAGACAAAGCACTTCAGAGGATATTGATTGTGACTGTTAGAATTATTTTTATTTTATTTCCTTGGGAGATAGTGCACCAGGGATTTTGCTGCTTTGTTCCTGAGTCCCTTTCTTTATCAAAAGCAAACCCAGATTTTTTTTTATTTCCATTTCCAGACCTCTGTATTTGCTTATTTTTTTAAAAAATGAAAAAAAAAATGTTTTTGTTACTTATTATTATACCGGACAACATCTGACGCTTATTGCCGACAAGAAATTTATTTTCAGGTCACCACTCTTTAGTTTACAGAATAAAGCGATCATTTATTCTTTTCATCGACAAACTGTATCTAATACTTTAAGTATTCTTGCACTTACGAGCAGGCATACTTCTAGTCATGGCTCTATTTCTAAATCACAATCCTATATCTGCAAGGATTTTCCTATATCTTTGTACGATAAACCATTGTTCCAATGATTACTGGCACAGTAATTGCTTTCTTTGATAGTACTTGCCAATGTCCAGAAGTTCAGGCTTTAAATTTTTGTAGTCTTAGATCCCTTTTCCTTTCCTTTCCATCCTTGTGTCATATGGACAGGTGACATATATCAGGCAGTAAATCTCTTTGTTTGTCTGACAGGGCGATATTTAGTTTATGTATTATTAATAATAGCAATAGGCAATTTTCAGAACTTGCGTAGATTTCTCTCCATCCAGTGATCAGAGTTACGTATTTTCCTCTATGATTGCTCCTCATATTTTTTTAGTGCTTCACCCCAAGCAAGGCGGGAAGCCACTAGCACGCAATGGGTTATAGGAAGTTGGAGCGAGAGCAAAGAGGAGTGATAGAGGAAAGGATGAAGAGAAGGATAGGGGATAGATCAAGGCATCTGGAGACGTCCATTGACATTGCATTTGAATAGTTAGAGATTACAGCTATCAAGGAAACAAAGGGGAGGGAGTTCAACAGGCGAGAAGTGTGAGAAATACGCTATTGGTGTAGAAGAGACGGCTACATTTAACAATTTCGACAGTGAAAGGGTGAGAGCGAGATGCCAGCCTAGTTGAACGCTTAAATTCTTGAAGTCTGGGAACCAGCGAAAGCAGCTCATCGGAGCTTGTATCTTGAAGATTGATTGAGTACTACTACTACTACTACAACTACTACTACTACTACTACTACTACTACTACTGCTACTACTAATAATAATAATTGTGGATTGTTTTTCTTGCTGTTGTATCTTTTGAACTAAAATAAATGAGGGATCTATTTGATTGTTATCGAGCATATTGGCGTGAATGATTTCGTTTCTTGTAACCATTTCACTCCTAGCAAGGCGGTAATGCCACTAGAACACAGGGGTTTACAGGAATTGAACGTGAACGAGAATTCTGAGAAAAGGGAGGATTGACGAAAGGAAAAATAAAGAACGGTGTTCAAGAAGGCAGAAGATTTCGGTTGACGGTGCATTTAAACTTTTGAAGATTATAATTATTAGGGAAGCAAGTAAACGGAAGGGATTTCCACAGGTGAGAAGTGCGAGAAAAACTGTTGGAACAGAAGTGGCGGTTGCATTTAACCATTTCAGCAGTAAAAACGTGGGACCTAAATGCCAATCAAGTAGAACGCTTAAATTCGTGTATTCAGGGAGGTTTCTGTACAATATTATAGGATGCTTTCATAACTTCATTATAATTTTTTTTTTTAATTTATTTTTCATATTTTTATAATTATTTCATTTTCTTCATTTGCAAACCTTTTCCTTTTCAAACGACGATTTTGCATTACTGGTGATATCCCAGTATTACAACCTCGGAAATATAAGCCCTTTCGCAGCGTATTTGCCTCACCAAGCAATGCAAACTTCTGAAACAATGTGAGTCACAGCTTTATTCCCAAAATTTTATTCCGATGGCATACACTAAAACGCCGCAGTGATAACTGGTATAATAGTAGCCTGAACGTCCGACATTCTACCAATTTAAGTCCGGTAGCGTGTGTACTTCTTAAGCTTGTTAATGTCTTTGCTCTTATTAATATGGTCACCAAAAAAAGCAGCATCAATGCGAAGGCATTTTCTATTTTTTTTTTTAATGACAGTGATGCCTGGTTGGTGGGCCCCAAGGAGGTGGTCATTTTCGATATTGAAATCCCACACTATCATGAATAGGTCGTTTTCAATCGCGTTCACTGTCTTGTAGCGTTACCATTACTTTTCGACTTCAAGTTCATACTTCCTAAATAAGCACCAATGTAAATGGGTCAATTTAACATGAGGCATATTATTAATATTATTATTATGATTATTTTGTTAATATTTTTCACGTACCGATGTTCATATTGTAGATCAAGTGAATGTAAGGTCATTATTATTATTATTATTATTATTATTATTATTAATTATCATTATTATTATTATTAATTATTATTATTATTATTAATTATTATTATTATTATTATTTTGTTATTATTTTATGTACCGATATTCACATTGTAGATCAAGTGAATGCAAGGACATTATTATTAATTCTTATTATTATTATTTTTATTTTGTTATCATTATTTTATGTACCGATGTTCACATTGTAGATCAAGTGAATGCAAGGGCCCTTTACATTTTTACAACTTTTTTCTTTAAAATCAAACCTAACCAAACGATGATGGCACTAAGACGCAAGGGGCTACTGGAAGTGAAAAAGATGGAAGACACTATAGAAGGAACCTGAAACCCAATCCTAAACAGGAAACAAGGGATAAAGCTCAACTCTTGCTCAAAAGACCGGGGCTGTGTGTGAATCGGACGATACGAGAATCTATATACTCATATTGAAGAAACCAAAATAAAAAAAAATAATAATAATTAATGTTTCAGAGTTTAGGCGCGGTCTTCAGAAGTAGAGAATTAAAGTAGTTCTTTAGAAGGAATCGGAAATGAGATGATAAAGAGGAAACAAGAAATAAACCTCCACCCCTGTCAAAAAGACGAAGCAGGACAGACCAGGACTATACGCAAACAAAATAATACTGTTCCAGTTGATTTTTATTTTTTATTTTCTGTTTCTTTTTTTTTTGTTATTTCTATCCTTTTCGCTCAGTAATTTTGTTGCTTACCCAGGGTACCACTAGTGAATGGCACAGTTGGAGTTATATTATACACAATTTTCGTTTATCTTGAGATGTTTGCATTTGTATACAACCATTTATTCTCTTTTAGTTATATTTTAGATCGAACAGAAGAAGGGGGATTGGCAATCTGAGAGGTTTTCTCCTCTTTATTTCTGATAACCAAATTTTATCTGAATTGGATGTTCTGTTTAATTGTGTTTCTAATATATATCTTATTCTCTAAGATGGGTTCTTATTTTTGGCGTATACGATTGGTTGGCATTCTCAAATCCTTGTTTTCGCTGTTCGAACCCAATTCCTCTTCTCACCTATTTAAGTTTTTTTTGTATTCTTTACGAGATATTAATTCTCTTTTCTGTACCCCGTTGACAGATTTACTTACCTTGCACGTTATTAAGAGTGAGTTGTATCATAATATATTGTCTTATGCGTGTGATATTCTGCCACTAATGCTCAACCGCAACATCTATCTATCTATCTATCTATCTATCTATCTATCTATCTATCTATCTATTTGAGTGTGTGTTTGTCCTTCTGCATAGTTTTTAGCTGGTATATTTTCCTGTGAGTGTTTTTCTTTTCTAACATATAAGAGCAAAGGAAACTCATAATTGCTAACAATGTTCTCCTTCTTGACATGCAGTCACATTTGAGTATATTTCATGGTATAAAAAAGGAAATGTGTTGAAGTTGTACATGTTTGGATATATGTTCACATAATCTAGAAAACTAACTTAAA